CCACACCTTAACTTGGAAACTGGTCACACCTTGCAATATACATGGGGTTGTTGTAAAGGGACCTTTATTCCTGAAGGCCTCTGTATTTCTCGGATTATGAACATTTTTGCAGCACTGTTGGACATGGAGGTCTTACAGAAGCTGAGGTCACATTTTGCTGGATGGTTTATGGACTCTTGTAAAAAACATACATATACAGACTTAAACGTGAGTTTATGGTTTTTGATTATAAAAAAGACTATTATTACAGACTGTATTTTGTTAGACTCTCCTGATAACAAGAAAAATGGACAATTTTGCAATACACAAGCCTTTTTTTTCATTAGAACAAAAGCAATGAACTTCAGAGAGCAAGCTGGGATCAGTGACTCTAACGTAATTTAATTATGCTAATCAGATTGAGAATTGGAGGGAAAAAGTGACTGGTATTCATGTAAGGAAAGGTCCTAGCAAAGAGAGATGTGAGAATATTGTTAACCTCAAGGGGGAGAGAGAGGAAGATAATTATCACCTCAGGAGATGGGTCATGGGGTAAATTCCAATCTGCACTACACATCCATGTATTTAAAACCAATATCTAGAGAAAATATTTATAGTCAAAACAAGTTAAGGGAAAAAAAGGTGCAAATATAGGAAGTAACCCATTCTTTTTCTCTATCTTCCTCTGCTCTAACTTTCTGTAGGAAATTGCCTCTATCACAGCTCCTGATACACATCAATCTTTAAGAGAGGAAATATGGCCTGATGAGGTGAGGTAGCTTAACTCCAGGTGCCCTGTGAATAAATCAGCAACAGAGTTAGGAGCTGTGACCTCTCTCATCCTGATGAACCTTCCAGACATAACTCCTCACTCCTGTTGGAGGCTGAAGTTGGATCTCAGTTGAAGGGTTTTTTTCCCTCTATGTTATTTGCTGTGTCTGAAAATGTTGTTTTATTAGGCAGCTTTGCTTCCAGGAGAGAATAAAAAGCTGAAATAAAGATTGAAGAATAAAATCCACCTCTGAACTTTGGAACAGCATGAAAATGAAAGCTGTCGGGAAGAATGTCTGCCTTTTAAATCACTCAACTTGGACAATAAGCAAACAGCTGGGTCTGGTGGAGCAGGTTCGCTCTCTGGAGGGAAATAGTTTACATAGGATGAGCATTTATATTTCCCCTTTATTGTCTGATTGAATGCGTAATAAAAGACAGTCCAAGCGAGAGAGAGATCATTAGCATCTGTTAATATAGGAGGATTTAATAATTTGACATTCCTGGCCAAAAGATGGGATGGAAAATTGGAGAGAAAGTAAAAAAGATAAATTAAAAATTATGTCTTCCCTAACTTTCATTACATTATTAAAGCTCTTTCCATCTGATCTCAAACGCCATGTGGATGGGTCAATTTGCAGATTGCTGTGGACATCCTAATGTTCATGTAGGCACTTCAAGACAAGCTGTCATAAATAGTTAAGTTGCCCTGGGAGCAGTGCCAAAATGCATTTCAGTGATGACTGCAGAGATGCCTGCTAAAAAGCAAACAGCACATTAGCAGCCCTCAGAGTTATTGTGCAAATGGAGTGTGAAATTCCGGTCCATTGCTCTGCACTATAACTTTTTGTCTCCCTGATAATGATTAAGAGAAGCTTTGCTTGATTTCATGGTGGGTGGAAAGAAGGGTGTGAAAAATGGAAAAAGTCTCCTTTGGATGTTTCACTTGACCTTCAGGAAACTCCAAGGGAGGGTTGGTTGCCTGATCTACACACAGAGGAATTAACTGGATGTGTTTGTTCTAAAATCTGGTGCTGAATTAAGAAGCCCAGGGATGCATGATGTGGAATCACCATAAAATAAAATGTCCCGAGCAGTTATTAAATATTTAAAAAGCAATCTGAACCTAACTGTTGGTTGAAATGAATGAAGGGGGAAAGATCATACTGTAGCCTTTGGGAAGAAACGCTATGCTTAAAACCCACAAGATCAGAACTGATTTGTGGTTCTGTGTTAATTTACTGGAAATGATTTTTTTTGCACTTTCATTATTATTATTAATGGTTACACTTCATACTTTCAGACCATCTTACATCTCAAAGTATTTCAAATAATTGAGCCTCCTAGTCATGGAATGATTACTGCTGGTGGAGCACAAAGTGCAGTGCCTTAAAAGGTGGGTAAGTATCATCCCATTTTACTTCTGAGATGTAGAGGGATGTAGCGATTTGTCAGGTCTCGCTTTGGGGGCAGATGCAGGGTCAGAACATAAATTTTCTGACCTGTAGCTCCACTTAACTGTGCTACCTGTCCAAAGCATTTGTTTCATCTGTCTACTGCTACCAACTGATAGGCACAAAAGTAACGGCCTGAGAAAATGACCCCAAGATTGCTGAAATCAGTGGCAGTGCTTTGAAGGAGCTTTAGAGCAGCCTTCAAATTTGATCTTTAACTTCATGTGCATTTTATGTTCTGCTTTTCAAACACAGGCACCCTTTAGGTTTTAAACAATGAATGCCTCCAAAATTGTGAATTACCTTTGAAACCTCAGAGCCCAACCAGAGAAAGCAGGGGTTTAGTCTGCTTAAGCACTAGGCTAAACTTCTTCCTGTAATTGTTTTTTGTGTTATGCAGTGGATAAAATATATTATGGTGTTCAAACACACCTTAATATATTTTATCCACTGCATGACACAAAAAACAATTACAGATCAAATTTTAAGGCTGTCCAAACACATTGGGCCAAGCCGTAGTTCTTCCAAAGAACAGATTCAGGCAAAGCATTTGTGGATTTGTCACTACCCCAGTTTTTACACAAAACAGGATGAATGCCTTTGATTTGCAGTGAAAAGCTTTCATCAGTCACCATTTGTTACTGAAGAAAAGAAAATAAATAGAAAACAAAGCTTAATCAGTAACTGAAAACTAGCCGGGAAAAGTTTGCTTGTGGAACTTATGACATCCTGTGTAGTTTTCAACAGTTGCTGCAAGTTTTACTAGATTTAGAGGCTAGATTAGCTACCTCTGGGGAGAGAAGATAAGACTTTCTTTCTGCCACTTGAACAGTTATGCTAAGTACTATGTAAGAAGTCCATGAAAGCTTTAGTGAGGCCTTGAGAGTATGCTATGATCAATTAACTAGATCAGTCTAATCCCCAAATTAAAGACATTATCCAGGCATCACAGAAGGCAAGGAAACTACACCAAATTGGAGTCACATCCTATCTAAAGGAGAAGAAACAAAGTAAGAAAAAGAAGAGATTAATTATATACTCACTGCTAAATCTGAAGCTATACATTTCCAACTTAAAATTGCAGCTCTATTGTATTGGAAAGCTCCATAGTGGTTAATAATAAAAGTATTAGTTTTCCTACTGCTTGTCAAGAATGAGAAAAATGAAAAATACCAAACCAAAAGCCCTCAAGAATACTGAGTGTCATATATTGTGTTTCAGTCACTGTAGGGACCAACATACGGATGCCTGTGGCTTGTGTCTGTTCTCAGCTGACAGATATAGGCTGATACTTGCTTTCCATCATAAGACAGTGCCTGGAGAAGCCAGTTGAAACATGAGTGACTTTGGCTGCACACTTACACACATGGGACACAGCAGCACATACTGGGATATGGAGAGAGTCTGCTTGGCCTTGCTGACCGGCCTTTGGCTCTGAGGGTCCGATGTAAGTGAATAGTCCTAGGCTTGCTGAGCTCAGCGTCTGAGACCTCTTTGTTTCAGAGTGACTTTCCTTGGTTCAAGTTAAACTATTCCTGTTGTACAAACGAGATAGATGGCAGAAGCACCAGCATTTTACCAAAGTCAAATCCATGTATACATGCACAGAAGATTGGAGTAAGCTTCTTTACTCTGAAGTTCATAGCACCTCAATTATTCCCAGTATGGATTTTTTCCTACAGTGAGTATATAAAGAACACCAGCTGAGGATAATGGGCATTTGGAACAAGGGAGTAGCTTTGGGCAAACACTGTAGAATTAAGAATTTGTTTGAGAAATTTAGTCTCCTTCTGTATTTGCAGATTATTCATGAACAGACTTGGATTTGTTCGAATCTGCAGAGCTGGTCAAACAGAATTTGCCAAATCCTAGGCTCTCTCAGCAGTGTCCTTGACCTGGTTTGGGGAGTATATTTGTGCCTAAAAATATCCAGCTAATATCACAAGGGAATATAAAGGAGAATAATGAAATAGGATGGCTTTCCAATGAATTTTCAGTTCTGAACCAGACTTGTCATCAAATACTTTAGCTGCTGTTCACCTGACTAGATGAGCAAGCTCCCTGCCTCATGGGAGGCTGAAATAAGTGTTTTGACTTTGCTACCTAGATTACCTCCAAAGCTTTATGAATAGGAAAAATGTGAACACAGGTGAATCCAACCAGAATTTTAGTTGTTGTCAATATATTTTCATCTCTGAACTGACTTCCTTCTTACCTATGTCTTGGAAAAAATTCAGTGGCTTGTTTACACAATTTAGTTTCTTGGCTACTAAAGAGTGTCGGTCACAGATGTTGACTTTTATTTTTTTCACAAACCCACCCAGTGTTTTCAAGTCAGTTGCATAAATGTGATAGAAACGGGTTCATGTGTATACCCATAACCTTTTCTTTCTAGAAATAGCTTTTTGAGCATAAAAAACTATGTGAGTAGTTAATAAGTCCTATGCAAGTAGTCCACAGATCCTAAAAAAAAGGGAATAATAGATTTTATTCAATGTTTCCAAACGCTTTTTAAGTGTCTATTTTGTACTCTCTGTTCAGTATATTTTTTTCATATATGCACTGCAAATCAGAAGAGAGATCTGAGAGTAAAACATCAACCCTATTAATTATTAACAGTTATGTTATGTGATTAGTATAAATAATAACCAAGTTCTATTGAACTTTTACCAACTGGTGTGCAAAGACCCTGGGGATGATAAAACTGCTACAAAGCACATTCAAATCCCAGCAAGGTCACATGTTTCAGCTTTTGGAGGCTCTGTTTCTAAAATGAACTGAATTTTATCCTGCATGCTGTGTGCAGTCTCAGCTAGATAAGGTCTGCAGAAGTGTTTCAAGAGTGAGTTCCTGGCAAGTGTATATGACATTTAAAGAGATATTTTCTATATCAGAAATTTACTGCATGACTCTTCAGGTAAACCTTTCTAATAGAGTTTTCCTTACTCATCAATTTTGTCTATTCTAAACAATGAATCAAATTTGCTAAAATAATTTCACAAGGTCCCTTTAAGTCAATACAATTGTTTCATACATACTGATTTCTCACCCTCCTTCAGCCAAATTTACTAGAATGTGAGGAATGCTGTTGGAGGCTCAGGATTTCATAAATGCTCTGGACATAAGTAGGAAATGTGAAGACATTGTATCACTCTGAGTATTAGTAGCAGATAAATTTTGCATTTCATTATTACTACTTTTCTGAGCACTGCGTAATTAGAAAACAAATCAGATGGGAATTGCAAACAGTGACTTTAAATTCATCCCAACAATATTTATTTAGGAGCTAATAATTTTTGGCAGAAGCATGAGAAATTTTTTAATTCCAGGTGTTCGATGTAATGGTGGTGAATTTTGGTTTTTACTTGATGTTTATAATGCCTTAGCATAGCTGTTTTCTAAAGCTTTCTAGCATAGTAGCTTTCTAAAGCTTCTTTTAAATTTTTTAAAATTATTTTTGGACTGGTTGAAATATATCATACAGGAGAGTCCTCAGTGGGGTAAAATGCCAGATAATAAACCAGAGCTGAAATTGTTTTGTGTTACATATAAACTGGATGGGTTATGCCCTGTGCAGGTGGATAGACAATGGCCAAAGCTTTCAATTTTTAACATTATTATACATCATATAATGACTGTCATATATTCCACGACAGCTGATGAATACATTTGTGGTCTGGAAATCTGAAGACACTTGAGGAAAATGCTGCAGCTAGTGACAAACCTCCTGAGCATACTCTAACATACAGACAGCCTGAACCACTCAGCACTGGGGGTGGATTGCTACAGTGTGAGGAGAAAACAGGAAGAATAGATCAGGGTGTTATCTCCTTGGTTTTGGGACACAAGCAGACATATTGAGGAAAATGTTACAATGTAAGGTCACACCTTTTTTTAAGAGGTGAAGGAGTTATAGATAACCCAGCTAGAAGCATAGATCTTTCCTTAGTTTAGAGTTTCATCTAGTCATTGAATAGAAATCTTTCCAGCAGTGAATTTGTTTTTCTTTAAGAGAAAGCAACTCAACAAGTCTGTAAAGAAGAACAAAACTGTAAGTAAAGCAAAACTCAAACCAATTCTGACATCAAATGAAACATCACACTGGGCTTCTCCAGCACCCCTAATCGTGATCCTTCTGACATACCTCAAAATTGTAATTTCCAATATCTTGCATACCCCTGTTAGACTGAGAGGACTCCTGATCTCTGTGGTTTGCTCTTTTACCTCAACAAATTTTGCATCTGAAATGTTCTCTCCTTCTCTTGAATGAGAGAATTGTTTTGAGAGGAAAGTCAGGCACAGCTCATACAACTTGTGCTCTGGACACTTACTGGTGACCCACTGAATAATGGTGGGCTCATTTGTAACATGCATGGGACAGGAGAAGTCTCTTTTGGCCTCTCATGTCATGCTTTTTGTCCCAGGAACAGTTTATGTATGTCAGGGCACAAGATCTCTCCTGTTGTCCTGGGACTGTATAATCTCTCCTCTGTATTATTTTGGCTCTTCGTCTCTGTGTGAAGAAAAGAGGAAAAGAACAACTACACTGGAGGCAGGAGGCTGAAGATCTACCTGCAGCGGATCTGGTACTGACAGGAAAACAGATGATGATATCAAAATGTGTTCCCTGTCTGGTCTCTGCCTTTAGAACACTGTGGGCTCCTTTCCACAGCTTCTCAAAGAACATCTTCAGTACACTTGTTTTGAGTGATCCTCACAAGAGTTTTAAGTATCAATTTGTTTCTGATGAGATATTCTGTGTTTACTCCCTGTGTGGTTTTCCATAAGATCTATAGCTGGTTGATGTCAAGAACTATTACAATCACACACTCTCAAAGTGGCATAATGAGATTTTCTTCCTTTATCTGCAGTGTTCTTCTTCAACATTTTCCATAAAGACACTGTTTGTGATGAATTCATTCCTCTGATTGTGATGTAATTTGCATTTATATTGTAAGTTAGAATTTTGGAATAAAAGATTCTAGCTTTGTTTAAAACTTTGTGACTTAGAAAATCTCATACAGATAAGTACAGAAAAAAATGAAGCAGCATTTTGTTTAATTAAGTAGGATTTTTTCCTGTGCAGGTGAGTCCTTGGATATTGTAAAAATTCTTATCTAAATCTAATGTTTAGGTCACTTTTTAATACACAACTTGCTTGAAAGCTTAAAATAGACAAAAATTCATTTAAATAATTAAGGATATTTGCTGCCTGTGAATCTTGAATATAAATTACTACAAGCATCTATCTTCTGAGAAGTAAGCAATATATTGGACTTTGTTATTTTAATTTTCTTTTCCCAACTTCATTATCATGCACCTGTCAGTGAAATCCATCTACTTTCCAGTCCATCAAATAAACTTGTAATAACATTTGGTTTTGACTGGTTTTGTATAACAACTTTCAGAACAAGATGGAAATTCAGTAAACATGAATTGTGAATCTGGTCCAAAATAGATGTTTCTTACTGTGAGGAAGCTGTTGTCAGTTTTTTCTGCCCCTAGCCAGTCATTCTTGCCCTGTGGCAGCAATGTCTTGCTTTTCCACCCCTCATTCCATTATTTTGGGGTGCTCAATAAATCTGATAACTAAAATGTTCCAAGTTAAAAAAAAAAAGTTAGCTAGCAAAATATTGTTTTAAACACTTGAGTCATTTTGCAATTAGTGCTAGTATATAATGGAGTTCTTAATATCCTGGTCTGAAAATCAAAGGAATAAATGTCTTCGTGCTGAGAAGAAGGCCGAAACTGATGATTAAATGATTGGATAAAGATTATGGTTGGGTGCCAAAAGTCAGACTTGGTGTTGCATAGTACTGGCTTAGCATTAGACTTGAGAGCCTACAGGATGAAAGAAGAATTAATTCTTGTACCCATAACAATTTCAGTGTCTTCCCTAAGACTGAATGACTGGTAAAGTAGCTTTGGAGTGGTGGACATTTGCCTTCTAACATCATGGATTAACCCCAACAGTTCCTGTTGAAAAACAAAAATTAGGCAACCAGCAAGCAACCATCAGACAGTAAAATTCATTTGATATGATTTTATATCTATGATCCTCTATAGGTATGATTTGTTCATACAGGGCTGGAAGACTCCTTGCCCCATTTCAAATAAAGTTCCTTTATAAAGGTATCTGAAAGGAAAGCTCAGGCTGTTATCAGGTCACATCTGCCACACAGTAGCTCAGCTTAACAACTCTCAAAACAAGCCAGTAGGAATGTGTTAAATCTTGCTTATATAATAAGGCTTAATTTCTATGTGTCTGATGCTGTTTGACTTGGCTTGCATAGCTGGAATATTTCCTGGTTTACACATCCCTTTAGCTTGTCTTTTATTTTCCTTGCATTTTACGCAGATTCAAGTAGTCCTTTGTGAGGTAACAAAAAGTTTGAAAAAGTGCCTTAATATTTCGAAAACTGCATGTCAGGTAATGGAGATGGGAGTGCCTGCAGGAAGACTGTGTTCAAGGGAACCTGACTTTTACCACTGAGTAGGAAAACATAGATTATTCTTGCAAGATTTGCTCTCTAGAATCACAGGCAATTTAGCAGCATAGCTACATTTAGCAGAAGACATAATGGTCTTTCCTTTTAAGGCTTTGACACTGCCAGCCTGTGTACATTTTTATGCATACAAAACATACACTTTGAAGTTCAACCAGTCAGTTCTAAAAGCTATTTTTCTCGTGTGCTTATTACTCATCTGTCAGGAAAAAAAATGCATATTTTGTAGGTGAATTGAAAGTCCCACTTTAAAACTGAGAAGCACTAGACTGTTTAAGATCAGCTTTAATAAGTTAGCAGTATGAGTGCTGACATTTTAAAATGACCTACGAACAAAACAGACTACAAAGTTGAAACTCATCTCCAGTTTAACACTTGAAGTCCTAACTTCAGGCAGATATTAGAAGGTAGCCCAAAAATGTCTGTCAACACTGTGCTCAATGCATTATTTTTATGGGTATAAATAAATGTGTCCAGGTTTCCAAGCTTGTTTGTGCTTTCGTTTGGAAAAAAATGAAAGCTAAGGAGAGTATCTCCTGAGCTGTAAGAGAAACAAATTCATGAACATTTGTCAGGGTGTTTGCATAGTCCTTCTCTTTAGAGCTGAAAGATGAGAAGCATCTGGAATAGAAGCAGAAGAGACAGGAGCAACAGCTACTTTGTGTGCGCCTTGCTCAGTCAGTGAAGGATGAAAACACAGCCCAATGTTGGGACCATAGCAGCACCTTCCAGATGAGCGTTGGGGCGTGGGCACACAGAGAGGGCCCAAAGCATCAGAGGTGCCCCAGATCTGAGGAGAAGTGTAGGAATGAGGCAGCAAGAAGGAGAAGAGCCTGTAGGCTGAATCTGATAACTTCATCTGGAAAATCAAGCCCGTCTCTTATTGTAGGCAGCTGTTGGCTTCAAAAGCGAGAATGGTGTTTGATAGCAGCATTGTCTGAGAACTGGAGACCAAGACATTCAATAAATGCAGTAATGAGAGGTTGGACATCCTGCACAGAGGATCCTACACTTCATACCAAACCCCACAGTTAAAACTAATTGGCGAATATGAAAGGTGAGGAACTCTTTTACAAATTAGAGCAAACCTGCAGTTATGCATTGAATAATGGAACTATTTTGTGAAAATATAATGAAATGGTGTGTGAATAATCCTACCTATAGCTACAACATGTCAGGTTGAAGTGCTTATTTACAAATATGTGTCTACTTTTCTAATCTGTTAAGAAATAAAATAAACATTATCCCCATGTAAGTCCTTCTAGAGAAGACTGGTTTAAAAAATGCTGCTGTTGAATCTTTTAGCCACAATTTAAAAAAAAAAAATCCTTGTATTTATCTTACTATACCCAAGTCCAGGAAGACTGTCTATGAAAATACAAGAGACCTTTTTTGTAACAATTTTAATTCA